TTCAATTGTACCCAGTGTGAATTCTGATGATTGGAAAGATAAGCAGAAGTGTGGAGTGAGGGGCAAGGCGATGAAAGGAGACAGATCACGTAGTTGTTGGGAATTAAAAACGTTGGTAGAAGATGAATTCAGGTCTTGGTGCTTTTAGTTTGGAGTTTATATACCCGAGGTATCATGCCAGCAATGCACATATTAATTCCTATCTAACTTAGGTTTAAAATTGCAGTTCAATGTTATCTAACATCTAGACGTCTTGAGGGCTCTTCGCATTCCAATTGGATTGATTTATGTCCAAGATAGGGACAAGTTTGACCATAATGAAAATATAGGGGCAATTCTGATGCCCTGCCACTCAATGTCACCAACAAATCTGGGAACGACTTTCTCCCTTCCGTCATACTGAGGAAGTGCATTAATAACCTGTTGGACTTTCCTTTCTGCTGGCTCTGGGTGCCCAACATGAAGCAAATTTGAGCATTCGTGATCCATATGAGTTCTCACACAAAAATCTGGCACTGAAGTGTCACTAAAAGGGAAGAAAAAAATCAATTGCAAATGCCATACTTGTGTAACAATATATAGTTCCTTTACCTCCGAATACTCAAAGTACTGTATGGCCATTGAAGTGCTTTTGAAGTGTGCAGCAGTTGAAATTGGAATTTGATTCCTATAAAAGTAATCTGGAAATGAGCCACAAGTTGTTTCAAAGCTGCTAAAAGCAGTTCGAGAAGGCAAATGGGTAAAGTTTCTGATTCATGCCTTCCAGCAGTTGACAAGACGAGGTGCATTTTATGAGTTCAGTGTGCAGTTGTATTTATCAACAGCTCGACTTGAAGTAGCAGCCATAACACAGTAGACAGTGACGATGAGACATGTAAACTGAACAGCCCTGGTTAACACTGTACTGAGTTGGCTGACCTCAACCAAGCATTGGGATTAGAAGTAGGTAAATCAATGTTTATGATCATCCATTGTCAATTGTTAGAAAGAGTACAGGTGTGGACAGCATTGGTTGATCTGGTTGTGGTTCTTTCCCTACCTTAACAGCTTGTCTATTTAGTCACCTGGCCCTGAATAATGATTCATGAAGACCTTTCCCCAAGTGAGAGTTAACACTGCCGAGAGTGCAGGAGCAGAAAATGACTTCTGGTCTTTCGATCATTTGGCCTTTACCTTCTGTTCTCAATGCTTACAGGGCTTCATCCTGAACAGTGTTGAAATCTTTCCTGAATTGTTTTCTTGATTGGGATGAAGATATTCGACCCTATTTCGTTTTTTCTCTTCCTCACTTTTTTCTGTCATTTGACAACATTCAATTCATAAGAAGATAAGAAATAAGAGCAGGAGTAGGCCATCTGGCCCCTCGAGCCTGCTCCAATAAGATCACAGCTAATCTTTTTGTGGACTCAGCTCCACTTACCCGCCTGCTCACCATAACCCTTAAGTCCTTCACTGTTCAAAAATCTATCTGTCTTTGCCTTAAAAACATTAAACAAGGTAGCCTCAACTGCTTCACTGGGCAGGGAATTCCACTGATTCAGAAACCTTTGGGTGAAGAAGTTCCTCCTCCGCTCAGTCCTAAATCTGCCCCTCCTTATTTTGAGGCTATTCCCCCTAGTTCTAGTTAATTGCAATTAAGAGCGTGTAGCTCTTAAAATAATTTTTTTGAAAGCTGGTAGCCATATTTATGAACAGTTCTGATTTGTGAGGATATATAACATCATTTTGAATGTGGCTGTTTAGTAACTAGCAAAAGATGGAGCATGTGACTGGGGATAAAAGTGGCAATGTTTTGCTGCAGTTGCCCACTGCATTGGTGAGATTACGTTTGGAGTGCAGTATACAGGCATGGTCTCCTCATTAAGAAAGAACATAACTGCATGAGGAAACAGTCTGGAGAGTGTTCATTCAGCTGATTCCTGGGATAGGGAGACGTTTATCTTATGAGGAAATAATCGACAAGTTGAGTCTGTATCCGTTGCATTTTTGAAGAATGAGAGAGAACTTGTGAGATCCTGAGGGGATTGGGAGATGGTTATCTTATGAGGAAATGTTCGACAAGTTGAGTCTGTATTCATTCCATTTTTGAAGACTGAGAGAGAACTTGTGAGATCCTGAGGGGATTTGGTGGCGTGGATGCTGAGAGGATGTTGGTTAGACTAGTATTGGGAGCGCAGTTTAAAAAGAAAGGGCTTCGCATCTAAAAACAGAGATGAGGAGTGATTCTTTTTTTCTCCATCGTGCCTGACTTTGTGGAACTGTCTTCCCCAAAGAACAGTAGATTCAATGGACACTGAATGTTTTTAAGGCAGAGGTAGGTAGATTCTTGACTGACCAAAAGAGTCAGAGTATTGGGGGTGGGCAGGACCATGAAATTGAGGAAACAGTCAGTTCCACCACGATCTTATTACGTGGCAGAGCAGACTTGTGGGGCTTAATAGCCTCATTGTGCTTCTAATTCATATGTTTGTATGGGATATGACTGGAGCTGCTAGTTGCTAAGGTTATTGGCCTCCTGTAGGCTGTAAGCTGGTGTCCTACCTGTGCTCCATGTGGTAACCTTAGATCCAATGCTTGATGCTTTCCTCTTCCTTCCTTAATGATTCCAAACTCTTGAGGTGGGGGCGTAGTACCACAGGGCGGCCTGTTCCTGCCGAGGTAAATCATGACCGTCAATCTCGGCTGGCTGGTTGACTGTAGGAACCATCAAGGCTGGGCCCAGTCCTTTCCTAGCCCCGCATGAATTTCACAGCAGCAGTAATCATATCACTGACAGGTATTGAGAACAAGTAGTGACGGCTTGGCTGAGATCACCTAACTGAGAACAAGACTGGGAGTCTGAATTTTTACGGTCTCCGTGGCTTAATGTTCCAACAAAAGTTACGCCCATTAGGGTAATCGACAACGTTTGTGTAAGGAAAATGATACCTCTGACCATGTGCCTGTCCTTCATTCGTGTCCTTCTAGCTACTTGATGTTTGGTGCACATCACAAGACCTGTTACTTTTGGAATTGGTGTCCCAGCGACGTCAGCTGAGGAATAATTTTCTTTCTTAGTTGATTGCACATGCACTTGGGTTGGAGTTTGAGAGTTTTGGTATTATCAAGACTATGAGGGGAGGCAATGGTCTAGTGGTATTATCTGGACTGTTAATCCAGAGACCCAGATAATGTTCTGGGGACCTGTGTTCGAATGCCGCCACAGCAGATGGCGGAATTTGAATTCAACAAATATCTGGAATTAAGAGTCTAACGATGACCTTGACTCCATTGCCGATTGTCAGAAAAACCCACCTGGTTCACTAATGTCCTTCAGGGAAGGAAACTGCCATCCTTACCTGGTCTGGCCTACATGTGACTCCAGACCCACAGCAATGTGGTTGACTCTTAACTGCCCTCTGGGCAATTAGGGATGGGCAATAAATGCTGCCTGGTCAGTGACGCCCTCATCCAATGAATAAAAAAAATTCCAACACACCTAGAGGATCTAGTCATTCATTATTGCTGTTGGTAGGGCCTTGATGTGTGAAAGTTGGCTTCTGTGATTCCTGCACTGCCCTGACACTTCAAAACAACTTCATTGACCGTGAGATGCTGTGGGGTTCTTTCTATAAGTGTGAGATGTTCTCACTGTAGTTGAACAAAATTGATGCAAGCCAGTCATCCATTTAAGGTGTGATCATCAGCAGGCTTGCTCATGAATTCTGTTTCTATTAAAGAAAGATTATTGCTGATGTATTACAGAGCACCATGGTTAGCTTTGGCCCTTCAGCATAAATTGCTGGGTTAGGGTTTCCTTCCCCTGATCATGGGGAAGAATGAACTTGGGTTGGAAAGTGTCGGCATCCAAGGGAGACCCTACTCTTGCAGCATCCTAGAGGGAGTCTTGCCAAACTTGTAAGTGTGGGAGGCGTATCAGTAAATGCTCAGTTAGACAAGCCTTCAGGTCTTCCTTGCTTGTCTGCTCGTGGAGTACCCTCAGTACAGTGGGAGAGCAAAGATTGTATTCACATGTGTTTGCCTTCTGTTGGTCTCTTCTCTCCCCTCTTACTAATGCAGCTTTTAGATGTACTCTCCTATTAAAAACTGGGGCCGGTGGTCCAAGAATTACGCGCGCCTGACAACAGACCGACTTTGCTGTTTCTCCTGACTGTTTTCATTTATTCCTTCTGCATTCTTTAATGGAAAATGTAGGTCTCTGGAAAGGTAAGGTGGCAACTGAAAGTCTGGCATGCCTTGAGTAACTCTGAATGATTTGAATGCCCCCTATAGCATTTGCTTAACATTTCCACTTTCATGGAATGAGCTCAACTCAAAACTCTTCATTTCAGACCAGTCTCCATGTTCTTTCCCATTTGCACATAACTTCCCTGCTGGTGTGTCTTTCTGCTAACAGTCATCGTCCCTTTTCCAGCCCAAAGGCCAGATATATTTGCGTAGCCCCAATTAATATTAGTTGCTGCTTTGCATCACAGTTGATTTACAAACGGCTCAACAAGACAATAAGGAAGCTAGGCTGTAGTTCCAATCTGACTTTTGTCGTTGAGATGCCTGTGAAGGAATAACGTGGCCACAGCTAGAGGTTCACCCTGGGCTAGAAAAGGACATTCCAAATGTGCCATTTCTCGTTTGATAAGTGCTGCCATCCTTTCCTAGATAGTGAAACGCACCATGCCATGAACTGCTCACCTTCATTTCCATGATCCCTTCCTACCTTGAAATGCCTTGAATTGTAGCTGTAACCCATTGATGGTGTACGGAGTGAGATATGTGACTGAGTGAACTGGATGATGTGTGGCGACACCTTGCACTTTAGATGTGATGTGTCATAATGGAGTGTGCCATGAGAATGGCTCCCCATTTGTTCAGATGGTTGAGCTTGATAATTGCGTACGTTTGCTAATATTGGTATTGATCTCGCTGTAAGTTAGTAGTTCTGCTCTGCATTGTGTTCACATTTGAATACTTGCTCTTTTATTAAACGTGATCCTCCTTTGCAGTGACACAGAGGACCACAAACCCCTTAAAGGCAGCCGAACGCCTTCCGATGGGACAGTTAAGAAGGGTGTGAGCGATGACAGCCTGGTTGACTACGGTGAGGGTGGTGAAGGTCAGTTCAACGAAGACGGCTCTTTTATTGGACAGTACAGCGGCAAAAAGGAAAAAGAAGCAGTGGAGGGGAATGAGAGCTCCGAGGCCCCATCCCCGGTCAATGCCATGAACTCCTTTGTCTAACGTGGGGGGAGAACGTGGGATCGTTCTATGCCCATGCACCAATAAATCGTAGAATTTATCCATTCACACTTATCTTCTGACTTGTCATTACATGCACGTTAAGAAATAAAGGAATGATGAGAAGCTAGTGCCTAAAGGTCCCGAATGTATAGATGAACGAAAGAGTGAAAGAGGAGGAAAAACCAAACGTGGGTTTTCAGGAATGCAGCCGAGCAGAGGGGAAAGTCCAAGTTATTGTCTATGGATCTCGAACAGAAGTTAATCTCCTGTGTATATAGAGTTGGACTTGGCACATTACTTGTTGGGTTCACTACTTCGTTTCCTATTGGTTTGCGCTAACATAGTGCATGAGAACAACGTGTATCTCACTGCTACCTAAGATAGATGAGTGTATGCTGTGATGACAGTGGTTTGTATAATATTTGTTTATAAAGTGCACAGTGCAGTGACTGAAAATGAATCTCGTTTTGCCGTCAGTGTTCAATTGGTATTCTAGAGCTCTCCGATGTCAATGGGACGTTGTCACGAAGATTTTTTTTCTTTGAATGTTTAACAACTGTTTGTGTCTCTTTTTGTTTTGCAAAAACAGCAAAAGAAGAATGTCAAGGGGGCTGATTGTATTGACTCCCAGCGCTAGGTATGAAGTGGAATGTTTCAGAATGGGTAACCGAGCCCCTTGCTTGTACCACAATGTTGTTGTTCCTATTCTTTCAAGGAGAAATAAGACAGAATATATTATCCTGTTCGTGTATCACCACACTGACCGGCACAAATCACACACGTTTTCAATATGAGCACACTAAACCTCTCAACGCCTTATAAACACCCTTTTTTTTGTAAATTAAACCTAGCGCCACATTACACAGATTTTAACACGAGGCCAACAGTTTAAGACAGTTCCTATTGCTTATATCTTCTTGTTAATACTGTTAGATTTACAGCCTTTTAAGGTATAAACTGAACAAGAGGGACTTGACAAATGTGGCCTCTCTCTTTATAAACTAAATTTTATTTTGGCTCTGATTTAATTGGACTAATCAGGAAGCGAGTAAAGAAACATGGCATGGGAGGGGGGGGGGGGGAATAAAAAGGGATTGGGATTACAAGCTCTTGGTTGCAAGAATCTTGTTTGCTTTGCCATTGATTTTTTTTTCATAACTTGCATCAAGTTTAATTAAGCTTTTCTTGTTGTTGTAGATATTGTGCTGTATTTTGTAAATATACATTGTCTTGTCAAGGCCTCAGGCCTCAAGATTTCTCCAATGTAGCTTGGGTTGTATTGTGTGATATATTGTCCCATCAAACTTGCAAAACTGTCTTTGGCTGTGAACGCATTAAAGAGTAATCCTCTGGATATTGCTACAAATAATCGTGGAGAAAAATCATGGGTTGCATTAAAAGTTTTTTTTCTTTTTCTTTGAACACATCTAGTTTATTAGTGACATAAATATTTTGGAGGAGGGTTGGGGGGGTAGAACGGCAGTTTTCGCTGGGTGAGGGCAATTGGAAACTGAAGATCATGTGATGAAACCTCCAGGAACGCACTCAACTAGAGTTGGTAACTGTATTTATTGACCAGGTTTTTTTTTTTTGCTCCCTTTTTCTCACTGTATTTTATGCTGCTAACTGTGAAGCTGCAAGCTCACTGGCTGTGATAGTAAATGTGTTTGCAACTAACCAGGACGTTTCATTTCCAAAATTTGTGTGCTTCTCCTGGAGCAGTTTATTGTGTGGAGGGAGGCTATTTGTACAACCTCATTCAAAATTAACTGAGAAGGTGACTCTTGAGAGATCAATTTTTTGGATCAGTAGGGGGCCCTTAATTCTGCTGTCTCTCTCTCTCTCTCGCAATTTGCTTCAGGGCCCGAACCAGAACATAGGACCTGGTTTTTTTGTATTAAATATTTTCTCGACAGGTTCAACGTACTGTTGGTTTTGCTGTGACTGGGGCTGGGGGAATCCGGTTAATTTCGAGCGCTGGGTGTGAGATTTCTTTCAGCATGAGAAAGTGAAGGCGTGCAGTCAGTTGGAGGGGTTTGCTAGGCCTCACTGTTCTTTAAGGCTGTTAAAAGCTTACTGATTTTGTATCAGGAGAAAGGAGACAAATGGGAAAATAAATGTGCTTTAGACTTCACCCGTGTGGCATCTTCTTTAATTTGTTTCTGCGGGGAGTGAGCATTGAGTTTTCTTGGGCTTCGAGAAAAATGGCATTTTGCTCGCATCTTTCACAACCTCCAGACGTTCTAAAGCACTTCACTGTCACTGGGGTATTTTGCTTTGGAGTATGGCTGATGTTGCTGGAGAACAGTAGCTGTATTTTTACATTCAAATGGTCAAACCAGACAATTCTGTTTCAGTTCTTCCGTGGGCATTGTCTATCCCTAATTGCCCATGAAGAGATTAGCTTGCTAGGCTGTTTTGGAGGGCAGAGCTACCAAGTCTCTGTGGTATATATTATAGGTGATAGTTGGCAGGATGTGTACAGTAAAGCAGCATATGGTTGTGGAAAACGTCACCTTCTAACAGTCATTCATCTATAGGAGTTCAGCGCTGAAGTTACAACCAAAACTGAAGTGTACAAACCTGTACTGAGACTTAATGAGTATTCTACCTCTCTGTCCCCTTTTAACAAAAATGGTGCTGAAAAGGCAGCTTCCAGACTAAAAAGATGTTTCCCAGAACAAAAACAAACGCAAAAAGATATTTTATAAAAACTGGTTTTCTGCATAAAAAAGGCTCACCTGTTCGCAATTGTCAATTGGTCCCACCATATTGCCTCTTGACAAAGGTGTGAGGACAAAGAAGAAAGATGCACAAAACGTCACAGAACACTTTTTACAGCTCAAACATAACCTACAATGAGAGGGCTACAACTATCAAAGGAGCAGCAACTTTTAAAGCAAAAGCTATAGGTAATTAAAAAAACGAGAGATAACAAAAAACAAAGTCATTGCGATGTGGATTTTTGCTCACAGTCTATTGGGCATTATGAAATTCTGTACGGAAGATATGAAATAAGTATTTCACATTAAAGGTAAAAGGATGAGGAGGGAAAGAGCAAGGCTGATTAAGGACCACGGTGATAATTTGTACATGCTGCCTGAGGACATAAGTACACTTCTAAATGAATACTTTGTGTCAGTGTGCATTCGTCAGAGGAATGGTGTGGGTATAGAAGTTGGGGAGAAGGACTGTCCTACAATGAAGAAACTAACATAGACAGAGAGGATGACTACTGAGACAGAGCTTTGAGTGATCTGGCAGGCTTAAAAGCATCTCCAAAGACCGGATGAAACGTATCGCAGGCTGTGGAGTGTGGGAAGGGGGGAAACAGCAGCAATACTGGCAATAATTTTCAATTCCTCTCTGGCCACAGGGGGGCTGTCAGAGAACTGGAAGACAGCCAATGTGGTACAGTTACTCAAGAAGGCAGCAAAGGATAAATCCAGAAACTGTGGGCCAGTTAGAATAATGAAAGCAATTCTGAGGGACAGGATTAATCTGCACTTGGAGACGCAGGAACGAGTCAAGAACGGTCAACATGGTTTTGTTAAGGGGAAGACACGTCTGACCAACTTGATTGAATTGGTGACCAGGTGTGCAGATGAGGACACCACATTCAATACCCTGCAAAAGGCTTTGATAAGGTCCCACATCGGAGACTGATATTGAGCCCGTGAGATTCAAGGGAATTTGGCCAATTGGATCTAGAATTGGCTGAGTGGAAGAAGCAGAGGGTGATGGTCGAGGGATGTTTTTGTGACTGGCAACCTGTGTCCAGTGGGGTCGCACGGGGGTCAGTGTTAGGGACCTTGCTGTTTGTGGTACATAGAAACAATTTACACTTGAATGTAGAAGGGTTGTTCCGTAAATTCGCGGATGCTACAAAAATTCGTGGGGTAATAAATAGTAAGGAGGATAGCCTTAGATTACAAGAGGATATAGACAGGCTGGTCAGATGGGCTGATCAGTGGCAAATGGAATTCCATCTTGATAAATGTGAGGTAATGCACTTGGGAAGGAAAAACAAGGCAAGAGAATATATGATGAATGGTAGGACCCCAGGGAACACTGTGGGTCAGAGGGACCTTAAAAGAGCAAGACAGGAAAATAAAGTGGTTATCCAAACATATAGGAAACTTGCCTTTATTAGCTGACGCATAGAGTTTAAGAACAAGGAGTTTATGCTGGACAAAAACATGATTAAGCAGCAGTTAGAGTATTCTATGTAGTTTTGGAATCTATATTATAGGAAGGATCTGATTGCACTGAAGAGGGTGCAGAGGAGATTTACTAGAACGTTATCTGGGTTGGAGAGTTTTAGTAATGAAGAGAGATTGAACAGACCGTGGTTGTTTTCCTAGGAGCACAGGAGATTGAAATGTATAAAATTATGAGGGGCATTGATAGCGTAGACAGGAGGAAGATTTTCCCTTTGGTGGAGGGATCAATGACCAGAGGGCATAGACCTAAGAGAAGGGGGAGAGGTTCAGAAGGGATGCGATGAAAAATCTTTTCAACCAGAGATTGGTGGCAATCTGGAGCTCAATGTCTGAAAGGATGGGAGAGGCACAAACCCTCATAATGTTTTAGAAGTAGTTAGATGTACACTTGTGATGCCAAGGCATGAAAGGGATATGGACCAAGTGCTGGAAATGGGATTAAAATAGTTCGGAAGTTGTTTTTGACTGCAACATAGTCAATAGGCTGAAGGGCCTTTTCTGTGTCCATGACCTCCATAACTCTATGACACCATGGACGAGCAATCCATTGACATTCTGTTGTTTAAAGAAAAATGCAATCTTTAATTTATGAATTAATAGGTAGTTGACCAGGAATGAGTATGGTCTGGCATTGGGCACTGAAGGGTTAATAATGATATAATCTTCAGGTAGATGGCAGAATATAAAAGCTTCAGTTTATGTCATACTAATAACAGTCAGGTTGAACAATTGACCAATTCGTAAGAAAGTGTCAACGATAAGGTGCAGAATATAATTTCATTGAAGCTAAAGCCTTAGCTAAAAGATTTGTGAAACTGGTCATTGTCTCCACACACATCAAATCC